CGCAGGCCACACAGCCATCCCACGCAAACATGTATGCCACACGCATGCACACTCTCACACAGGAATTTAAAGCAAAGGCAGTGAAAACTTTATGGGCGGTTGAAAGGCTTTGTACACCCTACTGCTTTGCATGTGTTACCGCAGCATGCACAGAGCGTTTTCCTTCCTGAATCATGAGCTTTGGTTTAAATTCGATCTCACAAAGAACTGGGATCATTATTAAAGAATTTCAGACTGTCAAAAAAAGTTTTGTGCTGATGCATTTTCTTTCTTTGCTTTCAACTTTCTGATTCTCGACCTCAACACAGCTCTTCCTGTCAGAGCTCAGTGGAAAATGAGGTTTCTTTGTTCTTTTATGAAGTTAAAAGCAAAGAATGTTACATTTGGGTTTCTTTGTAATTAGAGAGAGGCTCATATGATCGACCATGCTGATTAATTGGCCAGTTATAGATTAACAGTATATCAGAAAATTGTGAACTGTCAGTTTCAAAATCCACCAACATCTTTGTGAAAAAATTAAAGCATTTTTAGATACGTGTAGTGAATTGAGTAAATATTTCGTAAAAGAAGTGTTTATTTAAATTTCACTTGCTATAATGAAAATTTTATATAATAAAGTCTATTGCTTATCATGTATTTGATAAATTCAGTAAAACAGTAATATTGTGAAATATTATTAATATTAATTTGTTCAAAGAAAAGTCTTATTGACTGTAGCATTCAAATAAAAATATATTTACCCTATTTCCATGCAATACTAAAACAAATTAACATAAGAGTGAGATCATTAGGTCAGTGTTTAATGGTCATTCCGCCCTGACTTTGCACCGTGTTCATGAAATGTCATGTACAAAGAACAGGATTGACAGCCACACTAATGTCAGAGTGACACTGCTGGAGACATGCTACTCTGTTAGCTGAAAATGAACCTTTAGAAGAACAAATCCAAGATAAAAACAGAGAGTACCAGGTAGTGTTTGCTCATGTGATAACAGCTAGCTAAAATATAAGGGTAATGTACGATGTTACTGCTGTAATAATATACGCTGGTTAGTTGCTATTACACCACTACCGTTTGCCAACATGTGAGAAAGTCCATCTGTCAACCTTATCTTGTTGGTCGGTTCAGCAGATACCAAACATTAGCCAATGACATCACTCACAATCTCATTCATTCTAGCTAAAAATGCTGCCATTTTTATTATAGCCAATGTGATGGGTTTTTGTTGTGAGTTTTTACTTCATAGAATCATTAGGTTGAGCATGAATGATGATTAGGTCACCCAAAAATGAAAATTCTGTCATTATTTACAGAACAAGAACAGGAACTGGGGTTTCAGACTTCAATAAATAAATAAAAAGTAGTTCATATGACTCTTGCACAATATTTCAAGTCGTCTGAAGTCATACCATGGCTTCATGTGAGGAACAAACCAAAAGTGATAATCGTAAAGTGAGCTGTTGACTGCTGCACTGAATCGTTGAGTCAGTGAGTTGAACTCAAGAACTGAACGAGTCTGATTTGGGAATGAATCAATTAGAGAGTATTAACTAGATGAACCAATTAACTGAAAAGATTTAACTCAAAAGATTTGTTCACAAATCAGCTATCGCTGTGTCTCAAACGAGCTCTCATGAAAATGCCGGTCAGATGTCAAGATTTTCAGTGGCTATTTCTGTTATAATGCTCAGAATATATCTTGAATGAGTCATATGTACCATTTTCATGTCATATTTGAAGCTTGAAAGCTTCAGTCACCATTTGTTGTAATTTTATACTGATTATTTAAAACATCTCTTTTGTGTTTTGCAGAGAAAATAAAGTCAAACGGGTTTGGAAACGACGTGAGGGTGAGTAAATGACAGAACTATTTCTTTAAAGAAACCACTGTTTTTATGTCCCTTGAAACACTGGGCACAGTCAGACCTGAATGGGATCTAATGAATGTCGTCTAGTGTTCCTTTAACTACAGAGTAATTTAACTCTGCAGATAAGATAGATGGTGGCAGGAGCGGGTCATTGGGTGTATATTACATGCTGTTGGCTCACACTAGATTTGTTCACTAAACATGGTGTGTCTCTGTCTCTCAATCACTCACTTATGCATACAGTATGTGTATGAGGACATATTTCCCCACCGTACCAAAGCTATTCTGAGTTGTGTTACGAGATTACGAATCTGAGCGGCCTGTGTAGTTGATCGGCTGGCGGCTTCATCAAAGTCCAGAGCTCTGTTGGAGACGCCATACTGACACCTTCCCTCTCTCACAGAGTATGGGGGGTATTCTATCAATCATTAGTTGTGTGGTTAATCATAAAGTTCATAAATCAAATGTGATCTGATCAATGTTGTATTATAAAAATAAATAGATTTAATGGCTTTAAAAAGGCTTTAATGGTTGCTTGGGTATTTTAGGTAGTTACTGGCTAAAATAAAAAGAGTTCATAGTAGAGTCTCTATGATTAATTATGAGCAATATGGATTAAAAAGTTTTAGTATTTTTAGTGTGATATAGTATCAAGCAGTGTTATTTTAGTATTACTTGTATACTATTGTATTTATTAATATTTAGTATTAGCTTTTGCTTTTATATTTTTGGTTTTCATTTTAATTTTAAGTTTGAGTAATTTTGTTTTGTTAGTTTTGTGTACACACACACACACACACACACATTAGTTTTTCACCTAGTGTTTATATTTGCTTTAAATATATATAGCTTTATTTCAATTGCTGAAAATGATTTTTAGTTTTAGTTTCAGTTAACAATAACAATGTCAGCAAATGTCTTCTGTAGCGGTTAATGAAGACTCCTGCAGTACTTGTTTTTCAACTGCATAGACATTCTGCACATTTCGTTCATTTCATTTTTCCAACAAATGGAAAAATCATACAGGTTTGGGGTCGTGCTGAGGATGAGTAGATGATGACAGATGTTTCATTTTTTTGTGTGTGAACTTACTTTAAGAGTCAGGCATGCAGAAAGCAGGTAATAACAGCTCTCTACTGCATGTGATTTAGTGAGTATGCAAACAATCATATCTGTTAACAGTGCTGAGTAAGTGCTTTGATTATCCTGGTTATGAATTTACATCCATATCAGTCTTAGAATGACGGCTTTCATTGTTTTGCTTAAGTAAACAAATCTTCATGTCACTAAACTGGAGTTGAAGAACTCTCAGTGAAAGTCTCGGTGAGTCAGTCCACTCGATGGCCATCTTGGTTTGGTTACACCCTTGAGCGCCTATTTTGTAGTCATGGAAGTACAGCTCCTATTTGCCTGAATGGAGAAGTCTGTAATATCCAAAACAGTGTGCCAATAACATGATAAAATATGCTAAAATTCTATAGCCAATAGCTAATATTTAGGTAATATATATTAGCATAAATAGGAAAACTGACACATATATATGAACCACAGCTATTTGTCATTGACCATCCTAACACATAGTTCTGTTCACAGTTTTTGAGGAAGTGATGTCACACACTGTTCATTTTAGCATCTAATAGTTTGGCTCCATGACAGATGAATTTGCACCTGCATTTTGAATACAGTTCAGACACTGATAGCATTTTCTCCTTCCTTTAAAAGGCCTACACTACTGTTTAAAAATTTGGGGTCAATAAGATTTTTTAATGTTTTAGAAAGATGTCTGTTATGCTTATACCAAGCCTGCATTTATTTGATCATAATAAACCTACAAATCTATTGTAAATTCAGATTTACTAACAGCTTGCACAATCTCTCATTTGGCATTACAAAACTACCATCCGGATTTACTACAGACACGCAGTGAAACATTAGCTAAAAAAAGGTGTGGAAACAGTTATTTTTGTGACTGACTTTATTGAATATGCATTCATAGGATTTTCCCTTTCAGATGCAAAAATTATAGGAAGAGAGTATTTAAATGTATAATGCAATTTACTAAGGTTTGCACTAGTGAATTTACTGATATTTGCACCATTATTTAACTCTCAGAAAAAGCATAACCCATTTTGAGCCTGTGTTGTTAGTAGATTACCCACACCTGATTACTGTCAGCTCCGCTAATTTGGTAGATCGCGTTGGTCATTATGGAAAAGATCTCACTGTGTCTGTGTTCTTTAATTTGCACATTATCAGTAGATCACACACAGAACGTTCCACTCCCATTAGTGCTTTTATGAGCTTGCGCTCTAACACTGAATTACCCTGTTTAGTACATTTGACCCTGTAGTTTTGTATACCGTCCGTAATGTTTGAGCATTGCGAGGGTGTAACATGTATATTTAGTGTGGATGGAGGCTGCTGAGATCCGTGTGCATTCTGAATCCTCAGACAGTATGTATAAGGCAGTGGTCTTAACTATATAAACAGCTTCTATAGCTGTAAATGGTTCAAATTTGGGTCAAATGGAGACCAACAGCTGGGAGCAGACACAAGTCCTGTAAAGGACTGACATCTTTTATATGGTGCAATGACGTTACCATATTTTTGGAGATGTGCCAATATGTTACCACTAGGGATGGGTACCGAAACCCGGTATTTAATCGGTCACGGGGCTAAATTATGAAAGACCGGAGTATCGATAAGCTCTGACGTTAACGGTTCTGCTATCGGTACTGGAGAAATTAAGAAAACACACATACATTTATTATTGCTGTAGATACATTGGTGAGACAGAATTTGCAAGACAGAGTCGCCAGCTGTTTTTATATGCAATAATATTCAAACATTTGTCTATGATGCCTTTTTGCTATTCGCAACTCAGAAGCGAGATCGCGCTCGTGCGGAGGAGCTTCAGCACGCGCAACATGAAAGCCCTGCTTAATTATGATAGAGGAGAGAACTCAAAATGTGAGAATGTCAAAATGGCCAGGTTGGAGAGTATTTACGTAATAAACACATTTTATGTCTTAAGTGGACGAGAACAGTTGGGAGAAAATCCGATGTGTGTCAATATATTGTCTTAACGTGACAGACTGGCGCTTGGGCCATCAGTTAATCAAACAACAAAATGCAAAGACAAAATCACTCACAGCTCTTAATCTGAATAACGTTATAGATTTAATAAGTATTAATCTATCAATACATACAGTGAAAACTGTAATTACTTAACTTACTTGTAATACTTAATTACTTGTAATTACTTACCTGAACAGTAACGTTAGTAGACCTTCATGGAAAAATTAAAGCACTGTTTATTTCATTTCATTTGTACATTTGTTTTATTGTATTTGTCAGTTTGTTTTACTTTGTTTCTTTGTTCATGTTTTTACTGTATCTTGTCTTATGTACAGTATAAAACACTAAAAATGCCTGCACACTGGTGCATTTACAAATTGATGTTTTATATTCATTTCATTAAATGTTTGTTACATTTCAGAATATAAAGCAATGTTAATTCAGCTCTTAATTTGTCATATAAATATATATATATATATATATAAACAAAAAGTACCGATAAGAATACCGTTAAAGTACCGAATCGATAAGCAGTATCGGTAAGAGTAGTAATACCGTTAAAACCTTAACGATACCCATCCGTAGTTACCACGCTGCTTTCTGAATTAAATGCATAACTCTAGAGGATGATACTGAGAGAATGAGGATGGGGTTTGGTGTACAGGAAGTGAGAAAGTGAGTGAAAGTTTATTCTCACAGATCAAGGAATGTGTGATCAAGTGTTGAGCTGTACGGGCTTGTTTTACCAGCAGCATCCTGTAGATGTCAAACCCAATAATGTACTGCACACAATGTAGTCTTTGGTTATTCTTACTGTTATTTCATGGCATTTATGCAATAACTAACCCCTTAGGCCTTGGTAAACAAATAAACCGCCGCCTCTCCCAGTTGTGTGTTGGATAATAGCAAAGCACAGATGATTTAGTTGGATTACATTCAATTGAATTAACTGATATCCTTGGTAGAACATGAATGAGCACATTCTTTCCCATAGGAAAGATGTGAGGGCGTGAATAGGTGATGATTTCTTTCCAAATGGCAGAAAGAGGAGAGAGAGAGAGAGAGAGAGAGAGCCCTGCGGTAAAGGTGGGCAATATTTGCATTTCTCAAGGAGTGGTTGTAATGTTTAAGCCATCATCAGTTATAAAACTCTTTTGTCATTTCTATAATTTTTTTTTACATTTTTCTAAATGGTTTTAATGTATTCATTTAATTATTTATTAGTTTTTAGTTTTAGTTTTATTTCAGTTGGTGATTTTAGTGCTTCAACGTAAACTTATTTTAGTTCATTTCTAATTTTGGATTAAAGTTTTTCATCTAATAAATATTTTATTTCAGCTTAATTTCAATTAGCAAAAATGTTTAATAGTTTAGTGTTAGTTAATGATAACATCACTGGACTAAGTTCAGATAAATGTGTGCTTAATTATATGTGGATTTAATACAATATCATATTTAATGCAACATTGGAAAACACAGTGGGACACATAGAAACAAATTAATAACTGAATATAGTATATTAGTCATAAGTGGTGTTAATCATTTATAAGCACTAAAATAAGATCTGTTCCAAAACAGTCATATCTACTTTTTTTTTTTATTTTTTTTTTTTTTGAGTACACTCACTAAACAGGTGGAAATGTGGACTGGATAAAACAAAAAACAGAGTTTTGATGGATTGGATTGTCAAACAAACTGACAAAGTTGTTTTTAATCAAAAATCTTGGAAGGGTCTTGTGTTCAGTTTAACTCATGCTTAACCAAACTGCATTTTAAAGCATCATAGGTGTACCCTTGACAAGAAAGCTTTTCTGAAACATAGGTAGCAACATTTTGTGAAGATACTTCATTGAGGCTAAAATCTAAGGGAGTATTGTATTTGTAACATAAATGCAGATTGCATTGTGATGGAAAAAAATGCATTCAAAATATTTGATTTTATGTATTTTATGGTCATTAAAGTATCTGGTATTTAGCTTAGAAACATGCTATGTCAAACTGCTTCTGCATCTCACGTTTGTATGATTTGTACTGTCAAAATAAGTTGTTGCCTATGTAGAGCATTAGTCTTTTATGGGATCCTATGATAGTTGTAGACATTACTCTTGTTCTGTGGAAACTCATTCTTGTGAATCTCATTTGGTTTTGGAACAGAGCTCTATTTAACAAATTAACATTACTTTCCATTAGAATAGCCAAAATCAAGCAAGCATCATGTCACCTCAGTGACTCAGTGTGACAGGTACTGACCCAGGTGACTAAAGCTTTGTGTATGAGTGGTTTAACAGATACACACTCTCAGGTGAAGTGCATGTAGAGGTTTGTGTTTCAGTGGGAGGTGCTGGGATGAATGCAGCATTTGTGTTTTTTTCTGAGTCAACATCACAGCTTAAAGTGCTATTACAGAATTGAATGAGTGTCATTTTCTGCAGAGGTGCCATGAATGATGATTTAATTGCTTAAGTAACTGAATTATTTTCTTTTGAATGCTAACAGGATAGAAGTGACTGCTAATCTTCATTTTTCAGTTTCAAACCATTTGAACCTCAGCAGCAAAGTCTGCTAATTTTATTATTTTTTAATTATGCTATATGTGTGTGAGTGAGTTTTTCTGTCTCTCTTTCTCCAAAATCACAGGCTCTTTTTCTCCTTGCCCTACGTTGCGAATTATGTAGTTGAATCCTAAAAGACACTGTAATATAAAACTATTGACTACAGAGGTATGAAGAAAACGCTTTATGCTGCATCTATGAGAGCTGTGCGTATAAAGTCCAAGACCACTTTCATATCAGCTATTGGACAGCATAGCATAAACATAACAACAACAAATCAAAAATTGCTTATTGCACATTCAAGTACAAATATTTAAACAGTTAAACACAGAATTATAATGTTGAATTAGATTAGAAACATCTGGTCTGATACTGATAACGCTCATGTGTGATTGTATGGACATTTCTGTGATGAACTTTTTTGGTTCATTTTTGAATAACAATTTGATGTTAAATATAAAATCTGGTTATTGAAGCAAAAATGTTATTAATGACATGAAATGTTAGGTTACATAGTCAGAGTGTGCAGTTGAACTAAAATATCAAGTAAATAGAATGTGTATTTGGCAGATTTAATCAGTGAAATTGAATCACTGAGCTGAGTAGCTTAAATATTAAATAAATATAGCAATGCAGCATTAAATATAATAACAGAGCATTAAGCTGTAATGCCCACCCAAGATAATAATTAATATGTTGCTGAAGTATAAGGTCAGATTACTGTAAATAGGAGCTGGGGAAAGATATATGAGCACATCGTGTCTGTATTGAAACCAGGGAGGTAAGAGATGAGAACAAGCTTCCACCTATGCTTTTAAGGAGATATCACGAGAAGATATCACGCTACACTTCCATGTTATTTTTTGTGGGATATTGATGTACAGCATGCATGATATGCTCACCGAAACCATGAATCATTCAGACCCCCAAATCAAACAAAAGAGATTGTGAGAAAGACATAAAAGAGGACAGGAAAATTGTGCTCTGAGGCATTCAAAACATGTACTAACAGAACTTTGATGCTTTGTTTTTGACTTTGCACCAATCTGAATCCGGTGCGAGGAATTCTGGCCTGTGTGGGAGTTTGTTTGATTGGTGTGAGCAGTACCAACTTGTATTCAGCCTACTAGGGTTTGGTCTGAAACAGGTTAATTAAGTTCTAGAGGGAATGGATTTTGGGTTGAGTAACTTTGCAGGATGTGTTTGCTGATAACGCTGTTTGTTTTTTCGTGACTGTTGGGTAATGCACATTTGGAATAACTGAACTGAATGTCTTGCCACAAGCCGTGATCTTGCAAAATCAGGAACAAGTCAAGATCTGCTCTGTTTATCAGGTGTTTATTGTTTTATTTACATGGCAAATATGCTTTTCTCACACACACCCACAGCAGCACACACACTTACACTCATTATCGCTGACCTGTTTCCTCTTAAAGGGTTAGTTCACCCAAAAATGAAAATTAGCCCATAAATTACTCACCCTCAAGTCATCCTAGGTGTATATGACTTTCTTTCTTTCAGACGAATCCAGTCGGAGTTATATAAAAAATTGTCTTTTGATCTTTCAAGCTGTTTAATGGCACTCAGCGGGTGTTGCAGTGCATCAGTCCAAAAGAAGTGAAATAAAAAGCGCCCATCCTTAATAATAAAAAGTGTCTCACACGGCTCCAGGGGTGAACAAAGTCCTCCTGCAGCGAATCGATGCGTTTTTGTAAGAAAAATAACCATATTTAAAACGTAATAATCAATTTAATCTAGCTTGCGCTCACTGTTATAAATGGAAGCAGTTCCGGGAGGATGACACAGGACGTCGGCTTTGCGCATGCGCCGCTCAAAAGTGACGAACGCGGAAGCGCAGCGGAGAGATCAAAACAAAACAACGGTCACTAATTAGAAGTACAAAACGAGGATTTGTAAAGAAGAATGTCGGAGGATTTCGATATAAGCCAAGAGGAGACTGGTTTTCCTTTGCTCGTTTTCACGAGACTCACTGGCACATGCGAAACGCCGACCTCATACGTCATCCTCCCAGAGCTGCTTCCGTGTACAACTGTTGGCGCAAGCTACATTAAAGTGATTATTACATTTTGAATATGGATATTTTTCTTACAAAAACGTAGTGGTGTGCAGAGCAAGGCTTCGTGAAACACTGAAGCAGTCGAAGCAAATGTGCCGAAGCTTCGAAACAATTCGACACCCATCTCATTTTCAAGTATTGCTCTGAAACAGCATTGACAACGAATCCGTTAAGCGAATTAACTTGTTGAATTTGAATTATAACGTATATGTTGTGGTCGTCATTTCACCATGTGGGATGGGGGAGTGGTTAGTGTGCATGATTGACATGTTGTCAGAATCTGTCACTTTAGGTTCGAATCCCGGGTGTAGCATGTAATTATAATAAATAGCCTATTTGAAAGTTGTGTTTTTATTGTTCTGTTCTTGTAATGTGTTGTAACATCTCTCTGACGAATGAACTCTTTGTGAATATGTTATTTTGTTCAAACAAATTAAACAAACATTAATAAAAGGCATCAAGCCACAACGCCTGGCATTTTTTACATATAAAGATTTTTATTTAAATATATTAATTGTTCTGCTGCATTGACTCCACTTTTATACTTTGCGGGAGTTAGGTTAAGACAGATGTTGCGATTGTGTGGTTTGACCCTGTCGATCAAAAGCAGATTCGGGTCTCGAAACACTTGTGAAACGCCCTGATGCTTTGATTTGTCTTAGTCACGTGACATGGGTGTTTTGAAACATCTGCGCTTCGGGATCTCGACACCATATCGAAACATAAGTTTCGCGTCAGCCATCCCTACAAAAACACATCGATTCGCTACAGGAGGCCATTGTTCAACCCCTGGAGCTGTGTGAGACACTTTTTATTATGAATGGACACTTTTTATTTCACTTCTTTTGGACTGATGCACTGCAACACCCGCTGAGTGCCATTAAACAGCTTGAAAGATCAAAGACAATTTTTAATATAACTCCGACTGGATTCGTCTGAAAGAAGAAAGTCATATACACCTAGGATGACTTGAGGGGGAGCACCCCCTGTTTTTTTTCTGTGGGCAACTGTTTAACTGTTGGGAATTTAAAAAAAAATCAGTGTGTCTATTTACACTAAGTGCAAATAGCCCGCCTTGTTGGGAGAGACTATTTTCACAAAATCCACCCACCAACGTGTGATTGGGATATTCAATATTACAAAAGACGGTCATTAATCATCAGATTCAGTGGCGTAGATGGTCAAGTGTGTGTCATACTTTTTTTGACGTGATCAACCCGGGTTCGAATCTGCCTTTTGGCAAACTTTTTTTCTCCCTTTTCAAATTTCAAATCACATCAGAAAAGCATTTATTTTTAATAAAAATGAAGGAAATAATCAAAAAGTTGAAAATAAAGTATCGGGTAGGGTTAGGTGTAGGTAATAAAAGGCATCAAGCCACAACGCCTGGCATTTTTTACATATAAAGATTTTTATTTAAATATATTAATTGTTCTGCTGCATTGACTCCACTTTTATACTTTGCGGGAGTTAGGTTAAGACAGATGTTGCGATTGTGTGGTTTGACCCTGTCGATCAAAAGCAGATTCGGGTCTCGAAACACTTGTGAAACGCCCTGATGCTTTGATTTGTCTTAGTCACGTGACATGGGTGTTTTGAAACATCTGCGCTTCGGGATCTCGACACCATATCGAAACATAAGTTTCGCGTCAGCCATCCCTACAAAAACACATCGATTCGCTACAGGAGGCCATTGTTCAACCCCTGGAGCTGTGTGAGACACTTTTTATTATGAATGGACACTTTTTATTTCACTTCTTTTGGACTGATGCACTGCAACACCCGCTGAGTGCCATTAAACAGCTTGAAAGATCAAAGACAATTTTTAATATAACTCCGACTGGATTCGTCTGAAAGAAGAAAGTCATATACACCTAGGATGACTTGAGGGCGAGCACCCCCTGTTTTTTTTCTGTGGGCAACTGTTTAACTGTTGGGAATTTAAAAAAAAATCAGTGTGTCTATTTACACTAAGTGCAAATAGCCCGCCTTGTTGGGAGAGACTATTTTCACAAAATCCACCCACCAACGTGTGATTGGGATATTCAATATTACAAAAGACGGTCATTAATCATCAGATTCAGTGGCGTAGATGGTCAAGTGTGTGTCATACTTTTTTTGACGTGATCAACCCGGGTTCGAATCTGCCTTTTGGCAAACTTTTTTTCTCCCTTTTCAAATTTCAAATCACATCAGAAAAGCATTTATTTTTAATAAAAATGAAGGAAATAATCAAAAAGTTGAAAATAAAGTATCGGGTAGGGTTAGGTGTAGGGGAGGGCTTTTGTCCCAATAAGGTGGCATCCATTTAATAATTTGAATTAAAAGTCAAATTTACACTCAATACGTTATTATTGCACAGTTTTATAATGTATTAAAATGATGAGGTGCAGATAATTGACACTATTTGCAATAAGTAATTAGCAGAATATCCTGCTATTTTAACTGTCTATAGCTATTTGCACCTATAGTGTAAATAGCATGTCACAAAAAAATACTGCTATTTTCACTCGGTGTAAATAGCGTCTATCGCACCCTTTAAATTCTGTCAGTTCACACTTTAGTTTGCTGGCTGGAGAGAAAGTGTGTGTGTGTGTGTGTGTGTTTCTCTCTTTGAGTGTTTTTTGCCCAATTTGGTCTTTTTAATATGAGTCATTGCCTCCTTTACAATCGCAGGGGGGTGGTAAAGGCGGTCTGTGATGTTCTTACGTGTCCCTGGTCACACTTGCTGGGGTATTCACGAGCCCTTCATGTGTTTGTCTTTTCACTCTATAAACCTCAGTTGAAACCACCTGCAGCTCAACACCTTGCGTAATCCTGCAGCCACATGCTTCATGCAAAACACACACATTGATTACTAATCAGATTCATATCTTCTGTCAACACTGATTAATGATCAGATTCAAACTTGTCGTCATTTTTCAAACCTGCATTTTACTTATTACTGTATTTTAATGTGAAACACTCAATGAGACATTTTGAAGAATGTTAATGCAGCACTTTTTCATTGAAATTCCTTAATGTTTCATAAAAAGTATCACGAAAGAAAGTCATATGACTCTACACATGAAGTCTTATGAAGCCATATGATGAAAACACTTTGCAACAAAGCAAACATTATTGTGTACTTTATGCATTGGGTAACAAATATAAACTAACCATGAACAATAATTGATTATTATTGATTTACAAATATAATTACTGTTCATCGTGTTCATTGTTCGTTCACAATCCACCTTTAATGTTAAAAAACAATTAATATATCAATTATTCAATTATCTATCCATCTGTCCATCTAACCATCTCTATCTATTGTTCATTGTCAGTTCATGTTTTAACATATAAAACTGTATTGTAAAGTGTTACTATTTTAGTCTTTATTCACTGATGATCTACCCCTTCAAATCCTATTTTTGGTCTTTTGCATATTCAAACAGATGTGTTTAGGGGAACTAGTTGTGTCATCAAACCTGTCTTGATAAACCAACTTGAATTTTTATGTTAAAATTTCTTGTTTTTGTTGAATGGGCAGCAATACTTTGATCATTCTTTAAAATGGCTTGCTTCGTTATCTGCAGAAGAAAGAAAGTCATTTAGAATGACACAAGAGTGAGTAAATTGGCACATTCTGGTTTAAATTTTGTTCCTTTAAAGATTCAGTTAAGGACAAAGGTTTTTAGTTATCTGTATCTCCACTGGCCAGAGGCATCTGTAACACTATCATGTAAGTATAGAGAGCGATATATGACACATTACTTTACAATACGTCATAAACAAGATGCTAAAATAAGATGGACAACAGAAAACAACAAGCATCTGGAAGGTAGATGACTCATTGTTCTGAGAACAACAGCACAGGGTAGTAAAATATTATTAGAAAAGGTAAATAGCAAAGGTTCAGCCACACAATGTGAGCAACAATAGAGCAATAAGAGGTCATAGTTATTTCTTGCACCTAAGGACTGTAATACACAATAGGTCAAGATATCCAATGCTAAGGCGTTGACGTTCAGTAATAACAGAGATCTCTGTGCCACAGGTAAGTCCCCGAGAGAGGAGCCCTTCCACTCAACAGCCGGCTAATGGGAGGTCACAACAGGATCCTTGTATCTTGTAACGCTTGAGCGCTAGTCATATGCCTTCGCCATAGTGACTAATAAAGTTGAAAAGAACCGTGACTAATATGACTCAAAGTGTAAACAAAATGGACAAACCAAAGCACATTGAAAATCTCCCTTCTGTTTAAACAAGGAGCAGCAAGGACCCAGTGACAGTTGTGTTGGCAGAGGGGAATGAACTGACCTACTTTCATGATGATGATGGAGTCTTGATGGAGCTGTAGCATAAATAAATGAATATATTGAGTTTACAGATTGGACTGGTAATCATACAACATCATATTGAAGTTTGGACTGTTTATATGTGTTTCGGTTTTCTTTTGTAACTGTATTGTCCTCTTGTGTGTAACATTTCCAACTAGATTGTTACATGTTCTGAAAAAAAAAAAAAACATTAAAACGTGAGTGATAAGGTTTGCCCATGCCACAATCGTAGGGTGTTCTAGGGTGTCTTTGCTCAGTTGCCAGGTCGTTTCTATGCAGTTGCCAGAGTGTTCTGGATGGTTGCCAAGGTGTTGCTATGCAGCTACTTGGGTGGTCCGAGTGTTTGCTATAGGACGTTAGAATACAGTTACTAGGGTGTTTTGGGTGGACAGGCTGCTGCTATGCAGTTGCTAATGTCTTCTTAGTGGTTGATAGGCATTTTTATTTATTTTTTTTACAGTTTTAGCAACTACAAGATGAAATCATAAGTTTGAGCACTTAGAAAAGTATCAGCACACCTCTTCTCAAGATGAGTTATGGTCTAAAGATGAATGGCCTGCTGAAGGTTAAATCGCTACTCATTGATGTGTACTTACTGTAATGTAATACTGAACAAAGTGTGTAAAGTGACTGTGCTCAGCAGCATATAACGCTGCAGGGAGAGGTGTATCAGGATGTGGGATGTGGCTCAAAGCTTCTCAGATTTAATTCGCAACACAAGTAGTGTGAAACAGTTCCAATCTTACAAGTTGAATGCAGCAAAACTAGTTTTCACACACGCAGCCATACATATGCAGCACATCATTGGCTTGTGTTTATACGTGTGTTTTTCACCCACTTCCTGTCAGCAAAGAGAGTACTTCCTGTTTTTATGTGGCTTCTGCGGTTACACGTTAATTCTGGATAAATTTTGTTTTACTATATGTGACCTCTCTCTGGCATAGATCAACACTGTTTATCAGCTGTATGCAAAGAGCTGTTGGACAGACTCATCAGTTTTACCTGTAGATGTGCATGAAACACAGCAGAAAACTCAGAGCTCAAATCTGAGAATAAAGCCATTTTACCAGACAAAAAGTATTAGAAACAAAATGTAATTTTAATGTTGTGCTAAAATGTTTAAGTATATGTTAATGTAACTCCATTTCAAGTCTAAATGCGTGCTTAAAGTCCGAATAAAATGCTGTTTTTCTATATGGGACATATTTTGCATTAAAGTGAGTGAAATTTGTATAATAAGATGGGTTTTGTCTTGCATTTAATATGTTGTGATTGACTGGATGGCATTTTCACACTGTCTCTTTAACCTTTTGTTTCATTTTTGCTGTGAAGTGGCCTCTACAGATGTCAGGGAAAACACAGGGTTATGAAGAAACCGTAGGAGGAACAATGGCTCGAAAAAGGACACCCATCCTCCTCTGCTCGACTTGATAAGGGTAAAGTATATGTGGGTTACCCATTATGGCATTAGTCACTGTAAAAGCACAGTGTTTTACCATTTGTAGTGGCAGAAATGCTGTGGATCACAAGTTGTGTGAGAAAGTTACAGAATGATTGGTAGTTTAAATGGGGGAAATTCTTTAGCAGAGACATTTTTTTTCTGCCATATTTAATGCACATACCATACCTAAGACCCCTCACGGGTTTTCACAATTCACAGAAACTCTCTTTCATCTCTGCTGCATCTCTCTCTTCATTCACACATAGCTGTTGTAAAGCATGAGACAGAAATGGCAGCCCTCGCTAAAAGTGGCATTTGGTGTGAAGATAAGACTCATTACAACCATCCTTTGATCATACTGCATTTTACAGAAGAACAAAAAGTATGTGTACATACTCATAACATGGTCTCCATCTTTCTTTGAGGAACTCAGTTTGTCCTTCTGCACAGTTTTTGGCAAGAAAAAGCCATCTGAAGGCATGAATGTAAATAGAGCATCGGTCTGTGGTTTATGACAGAGAACCTACGCAACAAACAACAAAAGGTCTACGTATTACAGCAAAAGCCTACGCTAAAAGGAAATCGCACACTTTTACGCAGAGATGTTTATTTGTGTTGCCATTGTGGGCCGCTCTGTGCCTCACCACTGAACTACAGGCCTGAGAGGAAGTTTCCAGTGCGGTTACCATGACGAGGGTCTTGGAGTCCAGGAAATTCAGATAGGAAGTTTTAAAGTAATTTTCAGGTATTTTCATTTATATATTTTGGAGTGTTTTGGGAGTTTAATGGTGTTTGTCATAGTAACTTTATGTCTTTACTTATACCTAGGGTATTATTATTAGCAATCCGATTAACCATTGCATTTAGTTTTGATATGAAACTCGTTGACAATAAGACAATAAAATGTTTGAAAACCATTTTGAAGTTTCTACCTCTGAAGAAAAAATGTAAAAAGGTAATTGCGACTTTTTATCTTGCAATTCTGACTTTTTTATCGCAGTTGTGAGTTTATATCTTGCGATTCTGACTTCTTTTCTTAAAATTGTGAGACATAAACTCGCAATTGCGAAAATTCAATAAAGTCCAATTCTGTTAAAAAAAGATTGCGAGTTTATATCTCACAATTCTGACTTTATAACTCGAAATTATAAATTATAATTAAAATATAAAGTCAGAGTTTCTATCTCAGAATTGCGAGTTTATATCATGCAATTCTGAATTTATAACACCCAACTGCGATTTTATAACTTGCAGTTCTGAGAAAAAAATCTGAATTGTGAGATGTAAACTTGTAATTGCGAGAAAAAAGTCAGAATTGTGAGAGAAAAAGTCACAAATTTTTTATTTTTTTTTTTTTTTTTTTTACTCAGTGGCGGAAACAGGCTTCCATATGTTGGTGAGTTTTGCATGTGTATGCAGTAAATGTGCAGTGTGTCATTGTGTTCACAGCGTCTGTGATGGTGATCAGAGCTGCTTCGTTAAAGGGTCACTCCGGAAGCGCTCATGCTTGACTTTCCCTTCTGTCTCCATCACTCTCACTCTCTCCTGTTTATCTCAACAGTGCTAAGAGAAATGACATCCAAGAGGGACACAGACAAACATTTGTCCAGATGAGCTGCGGTAACAGGATTGTGTTTGGACAGGAGCTTCTCTCCGCAGGGAACAAGGTGACAGTTCATCAGCTCAAGCACACTTAACGTGACACAAGCTAAGATCTGGGGATGTAAATGTTATTCAGCGTCGTTGGCCAAACCATGCGTGCACACAAAGATTGATAGTGTCTTAGATCCTCCCTCTGTAGTGATGACGTCTGAACCACAACATGCTATTTTGAGACAGGTATATTAGACGCATGTTGGCACTGTTTCATAACTTGTTTACTGAGACGCTCTCATCACATCTCTCCTATAGATTTTACTTGTGTATTTATAGACTGGACAAAAGGACCACATGAGGAAGGAATCAGTTAAATTGTTTACTCAGAATTTCAAGTTAAGTGCAATTAACATGCTTATGAAGTAAAATAAAGATTTAAACTTCTACAGTATTAATCTTGAACTTTAAATATTGATGTAACTTATTACTTATTAGTTTTTTTTACTAATAATTGTTTACATATATATATATATATATATATTTATTTAAATTTAAACAATTATGT